TTTCCTTAGTACCGAAGAAGGACAAAATTGACTTTTCACGCGAAATTTTCAGCAAACTGCAAATGAGATCACTTTTCGATCCTTTCAATGGAAGTTTGAATGCAGTCGCAAGATCATTCACTTCTTTTCGATCAAGTATGTTAAGAAGTTCGTCGTCAGGAAACGCAGAGAGATCTGAAGCTATAAGAAATGAAAGTGAAAACTACCAGAGGACAGGAAGCCCTGATTTGAGAGTTCAAGCAACGCAGCAGCTAAATTTCCTGGGGCAGGATCAATGCGGAGTTTTGACTGGCGGAAGAAACCTTTGGATCGCCTAAACAGCGTCAAGTAGACCTTCTGAGAATCCTCTGCAAACGTTGAACAAAACTAACTTACTTACCCGTCAAATTTTTGAAGGCGGAGATAAATGCTTCATCAGAGTCGTTAAAGAGGTGCTTAAAAGTCTTCTCCTGACCCAGGTGGCGCAAAATAAAAACAAATGATTCGACGAAATAGGGTTGGACGGCAGGCGTCGCGGGCTCATTCTCTTGCTCGTTCATGCAGCTTACCTGTAGACAGATGATAAATGCATTAGTTTGTTAAGATAATCTTGACAAGACATTTCACTGGTTTATACTTCCAAATCTTTGAAATGCTAACCAAGATTTCGGTAAGAATCGAAGGAGTAAACGAACTTAGTAAGAGCCATGACAAAGCAAAACCACTAACAATTCTAGCTGGTGTATGTTTTTTTATTATAACGTTTACTCGGAAATACAGTGTATTAAAGTTGCAAATAGGCAGAAAACAGTTTTTGGATTAGGCTACTGGTGACGTACGTTGGCCCGAAATACTTGTGTACATGAGAAGTTTATGAGTAGACAAGCCGCATAATTGGATAAACGAAAGCCACTTTGTTTTACGAGTTGGAATAGGTGAACGTTTTCCCGTCAATTCTACTAAAGCGTGATGTCCGCCTTGAGTTATCGGATTCACGTAAAGTCATTTCTCTTGGTGCAGCGGTTCCTTCCTGGCTCGTAACAGGTCCTCTGTTCCTCTTACCAACGATCAACACCATCCGGTATAGAAACCCATGCGTGAATGTCTAAAGGCAGTTATTTGGGGGTTTTTTCAACTTATCTTCCTTGCAATTTTCATCAGGTGGTAAGATACTTGGCGA